GCCACCAGCTCCCTGACTCTCTCAGGGTCTGCCCCGTGCAGTCACACCTTCCTGAGGTCAGGCTCCTCCTGGGAGCTCAGCTTCTGTTGACGGGGCAAGGGGTGGGGACTGGGGGGGACACCGAGGCCTGAACGTCTCTGCCCAGTGCAGCACAACTCTGATGAGAGGAACTTGCCTCCAGCTGCCGCCATGTCGGATGAGAGCAGCACGGTCCTGCTTCTCTCTTACTCAGAGCTCTTTCCTCATGCTTCTTTTAACTGGTGCTCACCCCTAATAAATATCTTGCACCCAAATCTGTCTTAGCATGTGCTTCCAGAGAACCTGCTACAGGCTATATGCTTGGCGGGCAAAGGAAGAACCTGCTAACGAGGCTGTTCAGAGTAAGTTATTTCACTCATCAGTAAAGTGGAGACAACAACCTCTGCCTCTCAGGGTTGTGTGAGGTTTAAATGAGATTGAGCATGCAAGCCACCGGGCACATCGCTTGGCATATAAGAGCATATAACGTTTAAAAGGAAAGTTTCCTCAGAAGTGGACAACTTCCCATGCTGACATAGCTCTGGGGGTGCTCTGTCGTAGAGGGGGAGTGGAGTGTTCCATTTCCTGGCCGCTTCACTGATGTTAATGATGATAGCTAAGTCTTACGAGGCGTATACTGTGAGCCATGCACATGAGTGTCTTCATGTATTGCCTCATTTAACCCACAAAATGACCTGGTGAGGAAGGTGCTGTTCCTGGTCACATTTTACAGATGAGGAGACTAAGGCACAGAGAGAAATTCACAAACTGGCCTCAGGTCCCAAAGACTAGAAGTGGGAGACCTGGGCTTTGAACCCAGGAACCTGGCACCAGGGTCTGTGCTCTTGCCCACTACAGCATATATTGTACAAAGAACCTGACACAGAGCAACATCATGCTGCCTCTACCCTCTCACTTGTCCACGATACCATTCCAGAACTAGTTTTTCTGAATAGGAGAGAAGCGGGTGAGGACTATGTCACCTGCCTGCTGCTGGGCAGGGTTTCATTCATCTGTTTTTGAAGCTTGGAGGGAGAATCCATCACCCCTGTCTCCCTGGGGCCCAGACGCACCCCAGTAGGAACCGCTCAGACGAGAAGTCTGAGGGCAGGCATGAGACGCTGAGAATGGCAGCTTCCTTGTAAAATTTCAGGTGTTCACAAATGATTAAGTAGGGTTTTTTTTTTCCAACATGTGTTTATTTGCTTAAATTAACAAAATATAGGTTACATGCTATTTTCAGGTAAACTGCTTTTTCACTGAAGCAGAAAGCAATATTCACAACTTGGGTTGTTACATACTTCAAGTTTTAGTTTTAAATAGCAAGCCAGAATTCTGTACAAAATCAACATTTGGTGTAATATTGTCCAAATATGTGAAGGATTTTAAATGTTAGTTCTGTTACATTTTGTTCCAGCAAAGCAGACAAAGATCATAATTCAAAACACGATGTTAATATTTTATTAAATGCCTTCAGGGCTTAATAAATACAGTGTGCACATTGGGCTGCCTCACGCAACTACTCATATACAAACATACCGGATACCCTTGTGAGATCATGGGAGGTCAGCCTTAGTCTCATGGCCAGTGGGAAGACAAATTTTTAAAAAGAGAGAATGAATTGAAAGGCAACAAAAGGGGGCAATCATAGGCTAGAATAAAAAGATCAACAGAAAATATGCCACTTGGATGGGTCAGTTGGTTGGTTCAAAGACAGCGGTCAAAAGCCTGGAAAGCATCGGCAGTGGCCTACTTTCATAGCGTCACAATGTGATCGATGTCATGCTACCCTGGCCCGGGAAGTGCTGATGACCTTGGTTTCATCCCTTAGTTCTCTGAGAAAGGCCTTATGGCTTCTCTTCCAGGCTTGCGTTCTGGCTCATTATTAACAGCTCTAGGCAAGGCTGGCCATCCCTTCCCTTAGCTCTGTACTCTGTACTTATGCATAGGGTGCCCATATAATTCATCACCCAAACTGGAACATTTTTGAGAGTTAAGGTGATACTCTTAGTGACTATGTGGGAACAAGAGGTATAAACCTGGGTTGTTCCAGGCAAATCAGGATGTTGGTCACACACAAAACCAAGGTTTTAGACTTGGTTCTTGGAAGGTCAGGGCGTATTAATCAGCAGGTAATATCTAATTATATCTAAGTCTCTTATAGTCTCTCAGAGTCAAGAATGAAAAACAGTCTTGAGAATACATTCCATAACAATTTTTTTTTTATTACTTTTCCTAGAGCCTTTTTTCTTCCTCCAAATGAAATTTTACTTGGAAGTCTAACAAATAAAACAGATGGAATTGGAGCTGCTCTGAGTGAAGTGGGGATGAAGGTTGAGAATTTCTCCTCCTCTAGCAGCTCTAGAAGGCCTAAGAGGACCTCTTGCTTCTCAACACACAATGTGGAAACCACCATTCTGGACCATGCTCTTTCCATCTCAACATTAACTTGTTCCTCAAACACTCCCACCTGACTCTTTTTGGGTGGAAAAGTCTGTAACTTGCTATTCAAGATCTCCTAGTTCCTATTCTAGTTTGGCACACTCAGGACAAACTGAAATCTGCAGGCTTTATGGCAGGCGCTCAACACCTGGCTGCTGAAAGAATGAATATGGAACAGGCCCCTGAGAGCTGGAGGCTTCAGACACCACTTTGCCAGCCTCCCAGTGATGTCACTGGAGGCACTGATGAGCTATATTAAAAATGATGAATGGAAAGCAAATAGCCCCTTGGAAGGACAGGTTTGGATCCTCTGGATGGGATCTTGACTCGCAGTTGCTCTGGTGACGGCAGAAACCCACGCTCCTCCCTTTACCACCCCCTTGCAGGTGCTCTGACCCCGAGACGAGGACGGCTGCAGGGAACTCAAGCAGCTTGGGCAAGTTGTGGTGGTAATGCTGGAGGAAGGAACCCTAAGCAAAGTGGCAGGAGGAACTGCCTCGGGGACTGACAAAGTGCATGCGTGACTGATGAGAACTAGATGAGGCTGATGGGGAAGCACCTTGACCAAGAGAAAAAAACGGCATCCCACAGTCAGAGATGGGTCAGACTGTCTAATGAAATGTACTGGGAATTTTGGGAGGAGAAGAAGCAAATAATAAACAGTACCTAGCTCTACAAATAAGAGTTGAAACTACCAAGAAGCAGTTTTTACATAAACACAGACACAGTACCAGAGGGTCACTGCTTATGGGCAGTCACATGTATGTGACATCTTGTCAGCACTGCTTTATTTGTCAGAATCCAGTGCCTAAGGAAAGCCCACCTGCTGGGCGCAAACCACACTTCACAGTCACCACCACTCACTGGAATCATGATTCACGAATCTAGGAAGAAATAATTAGTCACTGTAGGCTGACTATGTATTTTTAAACATATTAAGTGATCATAAACATCACAGGCATCATCTCCTAGTAAAAAAAAAAACTGTGTGTTTATACAGCATGTGTGTGTGTCTCCTCTCGTGAGGCTCTGACAGAACAGGTAAGAAGGCCTAAGTCAGTAGAATGATCGCAAGGTCTCCTGCTTTCTATCTCAATGAGTAAAGCCAGAAGCAGAAATATTTATGGAATCCTTGCAAGGGGGTCTTGGGAGCCACTATTTTATCCTAGTTGATCTTTCTCAACTCTCGCTACACATAAGAGTCATCTGGGGCAATTTGGAAAATAACCAATGCCAGAGCTCCACTCTAGACCAATTAAATCAGGGCCTCAGAGGCTCAGGGCCCCAGCATTAGTATTTTTTAAAAAGTCTCCCTGAGATGATCCTGGGACTTCCCTATAGCTCAGATGGTAAAGAATATGCCTGCAATGCAGGAGACCTGGGTTTGATTCCTGGGTGGGGGAAGATCCTCTGGAGAAGAAAATGGCAACCCACACCAGTATTCTTGCCTGGAGAATCCCAGGGACAGGGGAGCCTGGCTGGCTACAGTCTGTGGGGTCACAAAGAGTTGGACACGACTGAGCGGCTAACACTACTATACTGAGCTGACTCTAATGGGCAGGCAGCACTGGGAACACAGCTCCGCAGCTGCTTTCCTAGTGTTGGTTATTCCAATACTCTAGATAAGTTAGAGCTTCAATCTCAGGGAGAATTCCCCACCCCCCACCACCCTGCAGCTCCAGCACTAATGAGAAATCCACTGCTCACAGGGTGCCAACTCTTTCTGCAGCTGCTTTACAGGGCATGAGGCCTTGGAGCAAGATCTCTAGGAGAGAGCCCTGCTCAGGACTCAGAGTTAGCCTGCAGACACTCAGCACTGCTGGACCATCTGCAAGCATGCTCCAATGCCACATCTGATGAAGGGAGCCGAAGCTGAACAAGGCAGACCCAGGCAGGAATCTAAGTCCTGCTGGATTTTCCTTAATCAAAATTAATCACTTTCTCTTGAAATTTTATATCTGCAGCAACTACTCAAGACCATCCTCTTTAAAAACTCACCCTCAAATAAATGGGAAAAAAAAAAGAAATGTAAAAAAAATAAAAACTCACCCTCCTCTGTCATTTCTGCTATTTTTTGATATTTAATAAAGTGATTTAAAAAATATATACCACTACTACTATTTTTATCTATCTGGAAAAACATAACTTTCACAAATTCAACTAAAGAGTCATTAATAAAGTAACATGTCAAGCACCATATTTTTGCAACTAGAAAGAAATCAACCATGTTAGTCAATGGAAAGTAGAATTTCTAAAAGCACCTCAGCATCAGCTTACAGTTAGATGTCCAGAAGAGTGAGTATGTACAGTTAATTGTACTGGAGATCCATGAAACAACATTGAAGAAGGCCCTCCATGTGTGTTAAACATCAAGGGCCCAAATGCGAGACCCGAGAAGCATTTGCTTCCCTGCTCATTTAGTCTGCGCCCTTTGTCAAGATTCGTGCCCTTCTCGTCTCCAGCAAATGAGAGTTCATGCGGAAAGCTGTATTTGCACTGCCTAGTTCTCATTTTCCAAGTGTAATTCTTAAACCGTCCACTTAGATCCCCAAAAGCACTGCTTGTTTTTCCATTTTCCTCTCCAGTAATTCTTTTAAACTCTCATCTCTGTGCTTGAAGTACAAGTAATCAGAAAAGGCTGGGCCCCGCCGGGTGCTCGGCAGGACCCTGAGGCCAGGCCGCTCGTCTCTGCGGGAGAACTCCCGCTCGGGGCTGCCCTCGGGCCCCAGGCTGTCGCGGCTCTTCAGCGGGCGGGCCCCCGGAGGCGAGGCCCCCTCGGCGGGCGCCTCCTCCCCGGGGCCCGGCTCGGGCTTGGCAGACAGGTCCTGGGGCGCGCAGAGCGGTGGGCCGTGGGGCCCGATGCCCGGGCTGTCCGGCTCCACCTCGTAGCAGTTGTCCTCGTCCTCCTCCTCGTGGCAGGAGCTGCCCCGGGCGCTCTCCCCGTCCGACTGGAAGGCTGGCCCCTTGGCCCGGCGCTTCTGGGACAGGTCGAACGGCTCCTCCTGCTCCAGGCTCCGCAGGCCCCCCGCCGCCGGCGCCAGCGCAATTCTCCCCCGTCCAAAACCTGTCAGGAGCAAAGGCACGTTCAGGCCACCGAAGGGGTCGCTGGGTGGAACCCAGGGCTGGTTAGCTTAGCTTGATTTTGCATTTTAAAACTAGATAAATCCCCAGAAGGCTGTAGAGAGACGGGCTTTGTCACAGCTGGAATCAATATCCGTGTGACTCCTTTCAGGGGATTTTGGCAACATGCACGAAAAACTTTAAAAATAAGCACACCTTTGACTTAGCCAATCACATGACCGAGAACTGAAAATAGCCTGGCAGATGCACAAACTGTATACGGATGGGGTGAAAACAACTTATCAATTTAAGGACAGAGGTTTGTTTAAGTAAATAGTAGTACCTCCATGGGGCTTCCCTGGTGGGTCAGACCATAAAGAACATGCAAGGTATTATGTGTGTAGAAGGTATTTCTATGTGTATAATATGTCGATACCTCTTTGTGCTCATAAAAGGTATTCTCTATATACTTTAAGTAAAAAAATATATATTTCTAGTGTAGACTCTATTTTATCTATCAAAAAATGTCTGGAAGGATATGTCAAAATCTCAAAAATAGGGTAACTATGAGGTGACTTTTACATTTTTCTTTTCACTTTGAATATATTTCTTTTTACTTTTAACAGTGAACACATATTTTACCATAACAAAAAAATAACAAAGATATTTTCATTGTGAAAAAAACCAAACATTGCATTTGGGCCCAAAGAGGCCACCCCATATCCAGACTCCCTAAGCACAGACAGAGCTGGAAGGGCAGAGGAAGGTCTGGTGAGGAGTTCGAAAGCCCCACGTCCAACCACAAGTGTCCTTGCTGCTGGACACGGTAAGGGGAGCGGGCCTCACTTCCAGGGATGGACTTTTCAGCCGCCGACAGACACGTGGGAGGCTCGACCTGATCTGGTCTTGGAGGTGTCTGTCCACGGTGGGCCAGCGGCCAGGCCAGGAGGAGCAGGTGGGCGTAACTGCGGAGGAGGAGAGCAGCGAGGGCCGGGGGCGGCAGACCCTGGTGCCCAGGGAGAAGCAGGCTGCTGGGGTGGGGACACACCAAGGAAGCTGATGTCCAGTCTGCCTACTTTACGGTGTTGTCAGGCGATGGAGCCATCTGTAGCTTTAATCTTGTCAGGGACACAAGGAGGATCTTTTTAATCTGGGTCATGATTCTTGAGCTATTTCAAAAACTAGAGTGAAGAAATGCCAAAACCTTTTGTAGATGAAAGCATTAACATTGTTGGAAGTCTGTTACAAACTTTCAAAGCAACTCTCTGATATACAGTGATGCTCTTGATTTTTCCAGAAGAATGACAGTCTCGAGGTGCCTGTTAGGATGTGAGCATCTACACGGGGTAAGTTCTGATGACCAAGTCAGACTGTCAGATGCAGCTCTGTCTCCTCATTGCCTTCTACGTCTCCAGCCATGGTGGCTGAGCAAACTTCACCTAATTCTGAAAAAATCCAGAATAGCTGGATGCAAAGGATAATTCAGGAAAAGAACATTCTCAAGGGGAAAAAATGCTTTTGTTTTTAACCAGCATTTTTTCAGGGCTTTTATACAAACTCCAGGCCTTGTTTTAGGATGATCAATTTCCTGTCACCCAGGAGTCATCACAATCTCAGTGGGTGTTTCAGAAATCTGAAAGCTACAATCATTTTGCTTCATGCTGGGTGTGCATGCATGTATCCTACTTATGAATATGGGTGCCTAGTTGACCACATCGTTTGTAAAGGAGTGGAAGAAGCAGCAAATATGAACAAACCACCATGTTTTTACCCAGTGCAGTGAGCACTGGCTCGAGCCAGAAATTCCTGAGTTAGAATCTCAATTCTGCGTTCACCTTGCTGCTTGACCTTGAGCAGCTCTGTAACACCTCCTGGCCACAGTCTCCTCGTACATAAAATGAGAGGAACACCGCCTACTTTGTGGAATATTGGGGACAAGCAGTAACATCTAAGTGCATTGCCCTGTGCTTGGATCATACAAGAATCAGCAAACATCAGCCAGTTAACATGGTACTGCAAGTTACATATATGTGTGTCTTCTCTCCCCACACACAGACCTCCCAGAGGGCGAACAAAGATGGTTTAGTTCCCCTTGTATCTGCCAGGGCATAGAGCACCCCACACTGGACAAAGAGCATTTACTGCCCATTTACTGAAGGACAACCTACTGAAGTCAGTACTTCTGGAAGTGACTCTTTCCTGCAAAGAAAGGGACTGAGAAGATACAGGAGGCAGGAACTTCCCATCAGTTCAGTTAGGACTCAGTGGGGGAGACAGAAGCCCCTGCTCGGCCTGTGGCCAACCAGCCCTCCCAGGCAGGAGGAGGCATGTCCTCATGTTTCTGACTGGGAGCAGGTGGATGAGACCTAGCCTGCTACAGACACACTTCAGCTATCAGCAGAACTTGCAGACCTGCCCCTTAACAGCAGTGCGATAAAGAGGATACAGCATGGCTTTAGAGTCAGCAAGGTCTGCATTCAAATTCTCAGTCAGCCACTTTTCAGTTGAGTCGGGTAATATTTCAAAGCCTCAGCGTCCCCATCTGTAATGTGGGGATAATAGGAGTTCCTCCAGCCTGGAGTTACTATACATATTCACAGAGACAGAGCACTTGCTGCAGGGTCTGGAACACAGACGGAAGAGTGGAACCGACTGGCACCATTATGATACTCTAATCTACATCACTTTTACCTACAACCTTCAGGTATTAACTCTGAATACAGTTTGTTAGAGCTTGTTGCCAACCTGTTCCTGCTACTCTGCTGTGGTCTTGAAGATGATGCTCCCTTTTCTGAATGTAAGAACCACCCCCCAGAGTAGAGCTCCCTGAAGGCAAGCTCAGCTCCCCGTGTGTTACTCGCTGGGCCCAGCCACCGTGGGCTTCCTGGAGGGCGATTACCTTGAGAATGGAGGCCCCGCTCCATGACCCCATGCTTCACTTTCATGTGGCGCGTCAGGTTCCCCTTCAGGGTGAACTTGCTGGGGCAGTACAGGCACTTGAAGGGTTTGCTGTCGGAGTGCAGGTGCATGTGGCCCATGAGGTTGTGCATCCGGTTGAATTCCTTCCCACAAAGCTGTCGAGACAGTGACGAGGAGAACATAGCTTACTCGCGGTGGGACCCTTGCCCAGATAACCACACTCAGGCCTGGGCGACGATGGACGAGCTGCTACTTTGTTTGAATCTCGGCATTTTTTAAACTGCCTCCAAATAAAGTGTCCCCGAGGAAGTCAGGGAGTGGCTGCCTTGAGCCCAGGCTCAGAGGTGGAGCAGGGAGGGATGGATTCATGAGATTTTATTCCTGTTGTACAGGGAATTTTAAACTCAAGGTAAAAACTGCAAAGCTATCAAAGCTTCTTTGAACACAACCTTTTGAAAAGGAGAAAAACTTCTCTGAAAAGCAATTGCTCAAAGTATGCTTCACTGTAATGATAAAGATATAATGACTTGGTTAGTATTTAAGGAGTATTTACAATACGGAAAGCACTATCCCAAGTCTGCCACGGACTATTTCATTTAACTTACATGAGGCCTACAAGATAGGTGCTGTTCTCATCCTCATTTTACGGATGGACAAACTGAGGGGTTAAGACGAAAGGTTGGCCAAGGCGCACACAGCTTATGGGTGCTGGAGCTGGGATAATGAACTCAGGTCCTTGGACACCAGAGACCACATCATCAGTCACCATGTATCACACAGTCTCCCCCAACATAACTCTTCTGTTGGACTGTATCAACAATGCTTCTCTAATTTTTTTAATTTGCCAACTATGGGGAGTTCAAAGGAACAGTGTATAAAGGAAGGACTGTGTCCTTTCTCTGGGTAGAGATTTGAAGTACTGAAAATATCACCCTAGGTATACAAAAGCGAACCTATTTTAGTCACTTCTTTTCTTCTCATTCCTACTTCCATCAAATTGCACATACATGATGGCACACACCAGCGGTCCTCGAGCTCCATGGAAACAGCAGAGCTGCCTGTTTGAAGGCAGGACGTGCAGATGCTGAGGGTGGGAGACAGGAGCAGCCGCTGTGTGTGCTCTCCTTGTTCCCAAGCTTCGCCAGAGTGGGGTTTGGAAGCTCCAGCCCCTGCTCGGCTGTGATGGGAGGAATGCCGAGGACTCTGTGTTTGTGCTGGGACTCCAGGTCTACGGGAAGAACACTCTCCTTCCCTCCTTCCTTCCCGCCCTCCGAGGCCCACGTCAGGAGGGCAGAGAAAGGAGCGAGTGGTGCCTGCAGAGAGGGCGTGGGGTGCGGGGTCCTCTGAAGCAGGCGCCAGCTTTCCTTTCTCACTGAGACATGGTGTCAGCCCAGAGGAGACTCTGGGTGGGACTTTTATTAATACAGACCATACTGTCTTCAGGGGGCTATGGCAGGGAGAGCTGAGCTGGCCAACAGCTGTGACCTCGGGCACTTAGACTAACAGAACGCTGGGCAGTAAGAGGAAGCCATCCTGGCACTGCAGATTTTTCACAGATAATCTATGCTTGGGTAATGAATGGCTGGCTCTATATTTTTAAATGATTCACATTTGGGGGTTTTAAGTGCTTTCCCCCTTTTCACTTGCTTACTAGCAAGAATGAATGCAGCATGCTGGTTGGTGCCCCACACCCAGTATTCACAGCATCCTCACTACATTCCTCTGGAAAAGGTGACCCAAGAGGGGAGATGCTGAGAGAGTGGATCTAATTGAAGAAAAAGTATGGATACTTGCTTTCTTTCTATTCTCAACAGAGACAGTTCATAAAGATATATCAGTCTGTGGCTCAAGTTTGCTCACATGCGAAAGTTCTGATAGAGTTCTCCTTATAAGCTTAGTTTATTCTGTTCTCTGCCCTGGCTAAGAAGAAAAATGTATCTAGAGACTCTACACTAGGTATTTCCAGTCATGGGTCATTTTAGAGAAGATGTATCACATTTGGTTCACGGGATAGCTCCTGACTATTTGGAACAACGCTGCTGTTGAAGTTGCTTAGCTGAACAGCCCTTCATTAGACAGAGGCATCTCTAAAGGCTCTGCCTGCCTTTTGTTATAATCCCTGCCTGGCACCAGGCCTGACACACGGTAGGTCCTTAGCCGCTGCTGAGTGAAGGGGTGAGGCACATCAAGCAGATATGAAAAGAGCAAAAGCCGTGGGGACGTAAGCACGAGAGATGCAGGGAGAGAGGAGCAAGGGTCTGGAAGGTCAGTGAGCTCCCACACTTGTCCAAGCCTGGATGGGTCTGGGGGTATTACAGGCAAGACAGAGAGAGAGAACTGAAGGAATAAACGGGTGCCTTCTTCCTTCAGTGACTTCATGGAGGGTGATATTCCACTTTTAGTTATCATCTCTGGTTGGTGAGGTATTAGAAGCTGGATCGGTCTGAAAAGGTTTTATCAAGGAGACAAAATTTGAACCTAACCTTGAAGAAAATGTGGAAAGACTTTCGTGTTTGTTGTGACACAAGAAAAAAGTCTCTTCATTATCTTCAGACACTTCATCAACCTTAAAACTATAGACAAGGGAACTATTACTATTGTGATAATGACCCACAGCTTATTGCTACTGCAACTGCTATGACTTTGGGGTTAGAGCAATTCACCTGCCGGTGGCCACAGCCCCTTTCCCCCTCATATAATAGCCCACCTCCACCCAACACACACAGGTGTGCACACATCATGAGGGCTACTGCCAGGTATTTTCCAGATTCTTCCTCAGTTTTGGACAAGCAGCCTTTTTGATCATCATAGCTGAGGGTGTATTTTCTATTCTAATGCTTTTCTGGATCAATTCATTCAGTTCTGAACTTTCTGGGTCATTTTAGTGGTACATGGGGACAACAGGACGTTTTATCATTTTAATAAATGACAGTGTCTCCTGGATCATCGAAAAGCAAGAGAATTCCAGAGAGACATCTATTTCTGCTTTATTGACTATGCCAAAGCCTTTGACTGTGTGGATTACAATAAACTGTGGAAAATTCTGAAAGAGATGGGAATACCAGACCACCTGACCTGCCTCTTGAAAAACCTGTATGCAGGTCAGGAAGCAACAGTTAGAATTGGACACGGAACAACAGACTGGTTCCATAGAGGGAAAGGAGTACGTCAAGGCTGTATACTGTCACCCTGCTTATTTAACTTATATGCAGAGTACATCATGAGAAATGCTAGGCTGGAAGAAGCACAAGCTGGAATCATGATTTCTGGGAGAAATATCAACAACCTCAGATATGCAGATGGCACCACCCTTATGGCAGAAAGTGGAGAAGAACTAAAGAGCCTCTTGATGAAAGTGAAAGAGGAGAGTGAAAAAGTTGGCTTAAAGCTCAACATTCAGAGCTCAACATTCAGAAAACTAAGATCATGGCATCCGGTCCCATCACTTCATGGGAAATAGATGGGGAAAGAGTGGAAACAGTGTCAGACTTTATTTTGGGGGGCTCCAAAATCACTGCAGATAGTGATTGCAGCCATGAAATTAAAAGACGCTTACTCCTTGGAAGGAAAGTTATGACAAACCCAGATAGCATATTAAAAAGCAGAGACATTACTTTGCCAATAAAGGTCCATCTAGTCAAGGATATGGTATTTCCAGTAGTCATGTATGGATGTGAGAGTTGGACTATAGACAAAGCTGAGCACAGAAGAATTGATGCTTTTGAACTGTGGTGTTGGAGAAGACTCTTGAGAATCCCTTGAACTGCAAGCAGATCCAACCAGTCTATCCTAATGGAGATCAGTCCTGGGTGTTCATTGGAAGGACTGATGTTGAAGCTGAAACTCCAATACTTTGGCCACTTGATGCAAAGAGCTGACTCATTTGAAAAGACCCTGATGCTGGGAGGGATTGGGGGCAGGATGAGAAGGGGACGACAGAGGATGAGATGGTTGGATGGCATCACCGACTCAGTGGACATGAGTTTGGGTGAACTCCGGGAGTTGGTGATGGACAGGGAGGCCTGGCGTGCTGCGGTTCATGGGGTTGCAGAATGAACGACTAAGTGACTGAACTGAAATGATTTTCTCCTGAGGTCAAGGTTTATAGCCTCCTGAGGTCAAGGTTTATAGCCTCAGGGAAGAAGATCCACTGTGGGACATGACTGATCAGCTATATTATCTTACGTGTGATTGGTAAAGGAGACTAATTTTGTTGTTGTTGATAAAATTTAATTTTTATACACCATGGTTTATAAAATTTTTATATTTTTAATATACCACGGTTTTATATACCATTTTTCATGGCTTATGATAGCCAAATGGTAACCAATGGAGAGCTTTCCCAGGGAGAAGAAATAATGCATTAGCCCTGAAAATTTTGAGGACACTAAAAGTATCCCAGGCAGTATTCAGAAATGTAGCCACCTTCCTTCTCTGTGTGGGGTTGCCCAGTATACAGCACAAGGCTACATATATAATAACATTTAATGAATGTCTAAGTATATGGTTAGGAAATACACAACCAAGTCAGGAAAAATATCACTTCCTCATGCAAAAGTTTCACAAAGCAACCATCACCAACTCTCTCTCTTGTTCCCACTAAAGCTATTCACACTAGTTTGCAAACCAAAATCCTCAGTGGCAGAAAGATAGAAACAATTAATTCCGGACCTGAAGTACTTGGACACCATTCACATCTCAGTGGTAGGTACTCTTAGCTTCTTCCTCTCAGCCTCTGGCTCTTCCACGGAGCCCTTGGGTTCTTATCCAGAACACCTGGCCTTGTTATCCTTCTTAGAGGATCATCCTCACATGACAACACGCAAATGTATGGCGATTTTCTGTGTCTGTGAAAGTTGGAGGGGCCTTTCAGTCACCATTAATGAAGAGAGGCCAGAGAAAGAGGATTGGGTCAATTAAAGATGGTGCCTTCAGGTGGGGTTTGGTGTGAGCTCTAAGCAGAATCACTGTAGTGGAGGAGAGGAGCTAGGTGGAAAGGGAGAAGGGCTGCGAGGGAGCATCAAGACTAGCTTCTCCTGGGAAAGCAGTCATCTACACAGCCCCCTGAAATCATGAGCCGTGAGGTACAGAGCCTGCCCAAGTCAAGACTTGCTGAATCGCCTCCTGCCAAGTCTGTGGAAATTAAAGCCAGGAT